CTCAAACAATTTTCTAATAGATTCTTATCCATTAACAAATAATCGAAATTATCATATTTAATATAATTTCATATAAAAATATGGTTTATCACAAAAATGTGTAATTAATCTTATATCGTCTACTCACCACTTTGTCGTCCGCGTACATGACCGAAGACCGGGGTGTTCCCATAGCCATCACAGTGAACAGCACCATCGGAATCGTGCGAAGCAGTAGAATCATCTTGCGACCACGAATCCTTTCGCAAAACTTGCACAAATAATTTTCTCTCACTTGCACTGGTTTTCACGAAATGCGAAAGAATGAAACTGAGTGCTCGGCCGGAAATACAACGTAGACTCCACTGAGGCACTCGCGTTCGAATCGCGGAAGAAACAAGCGTAAAGGATACCGCGCGAGGAATCCAAGTGAATTCAACGGTACGAGGAAAAAAATGTGGTAAGGCAGCCACTGAATGGACACCAATAGCAGTGACGTCTAATCTAATCAATGAACACGGATGGCAGTGAAGAATCAAGCGAGGCGAACACGCGATTATACGTGTTCTTGGAGGAATCACGGTTTACTCAATGCCACAACTTTTCTTTTCTTTTTTCTTCTCTTCCCGCGAGCTCGATCCCCTTCCTCTTCTTTCACCCTTCCTGACTCGTAAACGTGTCTCACTCTTCTTCCGCTCGCGTTTCCTACGAGCGAATCTACCGACTTTCGTCAACTTGCCGTTACGTCGACGTCGACGACGAATTCCCAGCTCGTCCTTTGCTCCGTGTTGGGACTTCCCAGCTGATACCACGTCCATCCGCCGACCTACGAACAGTATATTAAAACGTTCCGATTGATTTCGACAATCATCGACTCTACAATCCATCACGCATGAAATAATCAAAGCTTAATAAAAAGAAACGTCTACTGTTCGTGTCTTTTGATCATTTATTAGGTCTTGATTTATGTATATTTCATATTTGACGTCAGTAAGTATACTTGACGTATCTCCCTTATTGCGGTTTATGAGAGATCCGTCACGATTCAAAGGAAGACCGTCGCGACAACTTGGAAATTACGCGCGTTCTGCTCCATCTTAAATATTGGTTTCCTCTCGGCATTTTCCTCTTAGAACTAAGCGATACAAATAATTACGACGATTTTCTTGTGTTCGAAACCAATAATAAATGTAAACTGATTTTGTTAAAAATACTTTAGAAAAATGAATTGCGATTTGCTAAAATGCAAGGCTGCGTTAATTCAATAATTTTCATTAAATAAAAGAACACGGAACAAAAGAATAATCATTGTATAAAAAATTCGAATGTCAGGTTCCTAAAATTGGCAAGTTCAAACGACACTCATTTTTCAATGAAATTATGTCGCACGAAAATCGCTTAGACGCATCAATGATAACACAATACGAGACATGAGGATGTGCAACAGGTAGAAATGTAATAAAATGAGAAACAGGCAATAAAAGCTGAACTCACTGTTCAGATCGGCGACCGGTAGGACAGTTGAATGCTCGGGAAGGAAGCATGGTACATTTCTGGTTTCACGCAGCAACGTAAGGACAGCATGTTTCCAGGATGTATCATGATCATCGCCTCTTCTTCGATTCCGGTGTGACTCAGGGACGATGACAGAATTCCGGCTACTTTCGAATACTTCCTGGTGGTCCCCGTGTCCAACGAAGCTTAACGACGCCACTCGTTTCGAATTGACTTTATCCGAGCTCCCAACTCACGATCGTTCGTCTCCCAGCGTTTTCCTCCTTAATCCGCACACTTGGTCTGATTTCACCCGACCAACGATGATTCCATGGATAAGTATTTCAACGATTTACCTGGAATGGAGGATACGCACTTCACAAATCCCATAGAGATGCGACGCTTCGCTGACTGTGACGCGCCACTGAATGGATCACGTGATTGACTCCCGCTTTCTTCACGTTAATTGGTTGATGATAAAAATTAAAATATATTTCATTATATGAAATAATAAAAAATAATAGACCGATTTGTAAATACAACTTTAGAATAAAAAGATATTTTGTATTCACATGTACAATTTTTTATACATATAAGACCTCACATGGACCGTAATAAAAGATATTATTGAAAGTCACGTATTTGTTTACGTAACCGAATATGTAGCTTACAAGTTTTCAAAGCTTTCAAAGCTTCCCTCACGTATCGAATTTGGTTCTAACGTTATCAGAAGATTATTTAATTTAGTCTACAGATGATTATATTTTAATTAATAAAATGTATCAAGAATTCTGTTGATCTTCCGATTTCAGTAAAAGCGAACGATTTTAAGGTTAAACATTATAAGAATTGTCGAAAGATAAAAGATTAATTCCTAATATAAAGGACAAAAGGGCAATACACCTGAATTGAATGAACCAGTGTTATGATTTCATTTCTCTCTGAAACGGTTCTTTGTTTCGTGTACAGTTTCGTAATTTTATCGTTTATCGCGTTGCTCGCTTTCATTCCCCTTCGAGCTCTTATTAAGACAGAGTTAAGTGTTACTTTACCCTAGCTTATCCCACACACGACTAGACGACAATGCATTGTTAGTAACGCGGATAGGTTTTTTTATAAAAACTGAATATATTTACGAATAATACTTGCAATAGTATTCCACATATTCTGTATATTCTAATAGTCATTTCTCGTTTGTAATAAATCGCTGTAACCCGAGCCGATTGAGAATGCACAAGTCAAGCGATTGAAAAATGAAAAACATCTCGAATGAATGCGCCGCTAATGATAATAAACGTTTTGGCCCGATTCAGATTCGTTGATCGGCGCAACAGCCGTGGAATTCGTCCGCAGAGACCGCGGATCAATTCTTTTTCTCTCACTTTCAGACACACATACACATACACACAACTGGCTAAAATTATAAACTCGAGCAAGGCAACGTTTCGTTTTTGTCACGACGCGACGACGACGACGGTGTAATGCTCCGGAAATTCTTTGAAAGATCGCGTAAACATTTGCATTTTTAAATAAACGACATGTGAATATAAAAAATGTATACCTAATTCAATGATTAATAAAATAGTAATTAAAAATGAGCAGTCACATTGATTTGATCTTATTTTAATACAACGTGGTAGCAAATAATTTGTGGGGATAATTTAATTAGTTTAGAGAAAAAAACTAGTCAGTGTATCAACTCTAGGCAAGCAATATAATCGTTGAGAACGATAGAGAGTAGGATAGCGTAAATAGTTCACGGGTATAATTTGCGGTCACATATTAATTAGGATTAATTTCGGACATAATTGCAAACGGAAATGCCTAACATTTAGTCAAAGAATAACAAATTATCGTTCTGCTGCCAGTGGCATGTTAATTATAACATGCTGTGTCAACATACGTTAGTTCAATCTCTAAATGAATAGAAAATGAGTTATTCAAAATTCGTACTTCGTCTTCGAACTGCGAAACGTAGAATCTGACAAAAGCAGTCGGAATAAACAGAGAAACGAAGACGAGGGATGAAAACCGCTGGCAGCGAAGGCGAACAATTTTTTAGTCACCCACCGACCAAGCTGGACTCTGTCACGACATAAAATGGAAGCACGTGTGTGCGTCACAAAGGATAGAGTAATCGTCCCAGTAGCAGGCATTCAAATAAATACATAGCATAAACAAAAGAGGAAAAAAAACACATGTACATACGCGTGGACGTCCCACACGATGGAGAAACCTTTCGTTAACCTAAACAAGTTAATTCATCTCCGTAACGATTTCCGAGCCGCTGTAAAAACCTCTTCTATACGGTTTCAATGGGTATGCATATACGTACACGTAAACACACACTATAGGACGTAGTACTTTCTCACAAACACGAATGACTGAGACACGAAAGGCATGCATACATACGTGATACGGTCGAGTACGTATGTACGATGTACATATGTTGTATAGTAATTAAAAAAAGAGTACAATCAGTCGAAATTCACCGCACTATCACCGTGAACGCGAGCGTGATCGTGAAGACGAGCTTTGTTCTCGATCGGGATTATTTCAATTGAGAAAAATTGGTGTTTATTTCGGAGCGACGAGAGAATGCGGTTTAGATATGACATTAAAAGATGTCGATTCTTACCAGGTAGTCGCGGGAATCGATGATGTTTGTTCACGGTCACGTTAGTCGATCGTTGACAGTCGTAAACCGACGGCAGGCGGTGTTTTCTTTATTTTATTTCGACTTCTTGGCACCGTGAATACGACGCGAACTATTCTCACGCGTACGGTGCGCCGCGTGCCGCGCGACTGACGCTACTTTCCTTTGAGGAGCCACCATAGGGTATCCCCACTCCCCGCCAGAAATGTGCTAGCTCGCCCTTGTTCAACGAGAAACTTTGTTCTTCAGGTCCCAGTGAACGTCCACCGGTAAATGCGTTTATTCTGTGAATGTCATACCCCATCTCATAAATAATGCAACTGAGTTTCGGATTCTAATCCCCCGGGTAGAGACATTATCTACTCTCAGTGAAAGAAGTTGATTTTTTATTTACAGACCCAACACATTCTTTGCATTTCTTTAATCTTTTAGGATTGACAGTAAGAGAATTTTATGCACTCCATGCATTGCATTGATTGCATAATATTGTCCTCGAAATACAAACTTTCCACTTTCGTAATTAATTATTTATATAAACAGGGCTTTGTTTCACTCATGAATGATCATACTATGGGTACTGTCGTTCTAATTTCATTATTGGATTATTGGGTTCTTTTATTTTCATTCTTGAGAACTCATGAGCTTTTAGTTTTACTACTATTTTCGATAAGTACAGTAAAACCTCGAACTTTATTCGAACTTCGTGTATCCGAACCACCTCGCTAAGAGCCTCTGATCTCTCGAACAGAAAACTAGTCAAGTAGGAATAGCAGGTGAGCTATCATCCAAACGGCGTTGTTCGCCGGACTGTTGAGATACTCAGAGTTCCACTGTATTAAAAATGCATGTTTAATAGAATACAAGTGCCTTCATTCATGTACGATACAACGGAAAATATACTGGAATTATCCTATAAATAATGCCAGTTATTCTTGAAATTGCTGCCTCGACGTATTCCGTTAGTGATTAAAATACGAAATTATATTGGCTGTAAGTAGTCAATTTTGGTAATGCTCATTTGTGTAAATAATAGAAGATAATTCGATGAAAAGTTAGCGAGACCTACGGCCGTCGCTACGCGTGTGGGTGTCTCGGGCGTAGAAAGTAGGTGTTTCAGGATTGAACGATGATAACGTTGGTGCCCGTGGGTTAGTGGTCACTCGAAATTACCATTATCTCTCTTTTTTTTTCTATACCCAGCTGCTCATCGAGCATATAAATAGGAAAGGGAGCACTCGAAATATAGTAGGGTATTTTCAGTCAAATGGATCGGGGCTAGTTTGAATGGAGAAAGAGATCGCAGTTTCGAATGTAATAATATGTTCTTGTTTTCAATTTAAGAAATAATTAAGAATTTCGTATCTGACTAAGTTCAAAATTCTAAAATTGGAATAGGTGATAGAAGGATGCTTTAATTTGTAGCGTGGATATGGGCTATCATACTTAATGACCTCGTTGGCTGCACGATATCGCGTAGAAAATGCGGATGGTCAATCTGAACTTCTTGTTTCAAACAGACGTTAATTAAGAAATTATTAATTAAAATAGAAAACCGTATAACGTTATTTTTAATACAATATAATGTCAATACGTACTTACAATAAATCTCTTATGCATGTTTCATTATTTCATTGCACAAAATTTTCTGTCAAATTCTGAATTAATGAAATAGATTTTTACGTAATAGAATCATAAGATTATGAATTATTATCAAATAGATCAATCAATTTATAAGATGCATAGTTATATTATTGAAGAATGTATTTAGTGGAACTGGAGCTAAAAGAGCGTAGCTATGTAACACAGAGACAGTTGTATCAATATCAATATCTGTGAAGAATAACATGGGCCAACGACCAGCCGTTTCCCGCGAGATAAAAGTGCGTTAGGCCAAGAGATACGCGATGAATTCATCCTGCCGAATACGAGTGGGCGTTCTGCCGGAAACGTGGATACCAGAACTACAGCACAAATTCTTCAATATTATTATTCCAATATTATGTAGTAAATATCAACTGTAATGACTGGCAGACATGTGCCGCGACGATCTCGGCACTTCTTGAGAATCTATGATGAATAACTCCTCGCCGGAGTAACGTCTGGTGTCGAGTGGTGCAAAAAATGATTCTTTCATTGAATCCGAGCATCTTGCCATAGAGGAGCGATGCTGTCTAAAATAAAACCCGTCAAGTGCTCGTATCCTTCTAAAAGCTGACCTTCTATGGAAGGATATATTTGAAACTGGAAAAATTAAACCGCTTCATGAACAGAGAATATAAATGGAGGAATGAAATAGATTAATTACAATAAAATATAATATACGATTTATGTTAAAAACGTACCAAAACTGGAAAATCATTTGAGGATCGTCGAAGAAGTTTGATGGATAGAAAAATATAAATAACAATAATACAGATGATTGAATGATACATATATTAATATTTCTCACATTGCACAATTAGAGATGACATGAATGTAACATGATACGATTTGATTAAAATTCAACGGTGACAGTGTAAAAGAATTGTCATTGTGCGTCATGCTTACGTAAAAAAATTGTGAACCGAAATAAAAAAGCGAATAAAAATACTGATATAGAAATATCAAAATGATTCAGAGACAGACGCGGCCCGCCGGAAGTCACTGATTGTTCCAAAGGATGGTGACCTCTGTCTGCGGTGGGTCAATCGCCTTTTTACCAATTAACTCGATCCCCCGGCAGTTGGAAATTAAGCAGCAACGGGCTCCTTGCTGACCCATACCTAACTGCATCGAGAAATAGAATTGCCTCGATTATCGTAACATTCATTAATACATGAACTTATTAACATGTATTGACGTTATCAACACATTAAATTATTGACAGAACAACATACAATTTAAAATACAGAAATTCTAAAGTAGATTGTAGTTCATCGTTTGATGTCGTTTTCAAAGTCCAACTCAGCTCTTATAAACTCTGCTCGAACCCTGATTTGGAATGATCCATAAAATTGATAATTTGGTCAAGGATTGTGAAATAAAAATGCCAACATTCGCTTCCATTTATTTATTAATCAGAATTTAGCCATTTTTACAATACATTACTGGCTCTCGTACTATACTGAGTGTTAGGATTGCTTCCCATAATTTATTAATATCATTATCAGTAACATGGAAATTTTAATCTGGCGTTAAAACCACAAGAAGGGGAAAAATGCATTGATCGATTTTGATAGATCTACTCATATACCTAATCCATGATAGTATCATTAATACTGAAATACCGATTGTTGTAAAAAACTAACAGATTTAGTATGCCCTCTACAATATACAGCTGTGAGTTCGTCATCAAACTGCTAACGATAAAGTCAGCGAAGAGGAAAGACATCGTTCTTTACCACCATATCCACTGATCCATTTGTAAGACCATAAATAATACAATTAAAATATGCAAGGCAACAAGATGAACATAACAGATGAAATAGCAACTATTTTTCTTTCAGACCTACATTCTTGTCGTCAGATTTTACTCAATCATAATAATCGAACGTCACGCGCATATGCGCGTAAACGCTTTGTTAGTCGAGCGGTCAATTTCTCATTTCGTACCTTTGATTCCAAAATTACATTTCTTTATTAGACAGCCTTACGTTGTATTAGGTCGTATTTGTTATCTAAAATTGTATTCAGTAATTATGTATATAATTTACTCAAACGTATACATCTAAAAGTAGGACAGAGTGGATATCGGATAATCGCATCACGCTCATTAGCACATTACTTACGTATGATTACTAGGGGCATGAAGTTAATTCTTACTTCTCACGAAATCATTGGGAACTGAATGTATAAATGCGATCGTGATATTGACCGTTGAATCTCGCAAACAGACGGTGAATAATCAAACGTGAATACCGGCGATCCTCACAATCTTTTTTTCCTTTGCACCTTTCTATCCTCATTTGTAAGCGATCCATTAGCAAGCGGGGCGAAATCGTAGCCCGTAATGAACTGACCGAATTACTATGGTATCTAACGATGAAATCTCGTTACCGTGCCAATACGTGAAAGTTCATTCATTCTAGAACACATCTTTCAGTATCAAACTACATATCACAGGCTTTTCTTATTTCGTTAAGAGAGATTTTCTATTATTTACAATGTCCTGGTTTAAAATTTAGTACGCGAACTAGTTAAAAAATAATTGCTATTATGCAAGTGTCGAAAGAGTATTTAAAAGACATTTTGCAAGGAACATTGCAGAATTTTAATGAGAGATTATGACTCAACCATGATAATTTTCTGACCTGGTACTCCCACAGATTATTTTATTTCACATTTTACTGTTAATTGTAAAATCTTTTTATTCTACGATTATCGAAAAGACTCGAGTTTCATTAAATTTAATAACATATCACAATCAGACTAAAACCTAATTGGACC